TATTATTAACCTCAAACTTTTTATTATTACACTTTTTTCTTATTTTCAAATATAAATACCCCATTCTTTCATTTTCTTACAAAATCAATATCAATCTATCACAAACTCTCTCTAATTTTCTTATATATACTTGCTACTATTGCTTACTTTATTCCAAAAAAATAGTCAAAAAATATTAAGTTTGTTACAATTTGTGAAAAAATTGTGAAATTGGTGAATTGAAATCTTCAAGTCAAAATGAATGCTCTCTATTCTAATAATTATAATACTATTGGTGAAAATGATGATGAGAAAATTGATCTCGATGAAACTCAACCGGACGATGATACACCTACTAGTCCTGCTCCTAATGTTGACCCAACTAGTAATAATCTTGCTAATCCAAATGATGACCCATCTGATACTCCCGTTACTACCCCTACTTTTTCTAGAGAACCTACCAAACGACAGAAAACATCTCATGTTTGGCCATTTTTTACTCAACTAGTTCCAAAAAATAAGGCTAAGTATAAAACTTGTGGTATGGAGTTGGTTTTTGAATATTTTGGATCGCGGGACAGGACAAGATCTTTGACTAGGCACATAAAAAAAAATACCCTAAAGATAACATCAGATATCAATGTCTGAAAGTTTTGGCCTAGGAGAAATGGCTCTTAACTGGCTTTTTCATTCAAATCGTAGAAGTAGACTTAGAGAATATTTTAAAAGATGCGATGAATGTGGCTAAAAGTGAAAAAAGTCTAATTTAAAATACACACACACACACACACACACATATATATATATATATATGTTATATACAAAAATTATATAAATTTTATACATTTTTTCGGCTACCGAATATAAATAGTCTCTAGCGCGGACTAACCGGAAAAAAACCCAATTTAAAACCTATGATAAGCTTCAAATCCTCTAAATACAAGCACAAATATAAATATTTTTCTCTTTTTACAAATTTAAAGGATTAACACGTCTCAAAGGTATAATTAAGGGAGCATTTTAAACTTATCCTCAAATGTAAGGGGACCATTTTTATCATTTTCTTTGTTAATTGAAAAATCAACTTGAGCAAACATACCGTAGAAACAAACCTAGGAAAGGCTACCAACGGACAGCAGAGTTTGCGGCAGTGACAGAAAGACTCCAATGGGTAGCGGCAAGGAGAAGAAGCAGAAGAAACCATTGCGCTTAGGACCCAATAAAGTCAAGAGAAAGAAGCAAAAGTTGAAGAAAACGAAAATCAATAGCAAATCTAATGAAAATTCAAAAACCAAAACCAAAACCAAAAGCAAAAGCAAAATAAAAAACAGCGAAAAGAATATGGTCAGTTTCCCAACAGCAGCAGAACAGCTGAAGTATTTCCATGAGCAGTATCAATCTGCTAATAGGGTTCAGCTTTCTTCCCTTGAGCTCGAATCATTCACAGGTATACACTCTACTATTATATTAGGGTTTGCTGAAGCTGCTAATTGATTTATTATGGATAACTCACTAAATTTATGTAGTTATAGAAGGAGATTATGTATATGTTACACAAAGTTATAAAATTGTTTTTTGTTGTGAGCTCCACGCCCCCAAACCCACCCACCCCCATATTTTTTAATTTCGAACTAATTGTACACTATACTAATTTTCAGTTTTAAATGGAATTTCTACTTGAAATGTGGTTCCTATGCACAATTATGAAGGAAACAAGTTTCGAGAAGTTGATAGTCTGTTCTCTTTTTCTTCCTTGATAAGTAGAGGCGGAGCCAGAATTTGAAGTTTATGAGTTTTGAACTTGCCGCCCAACAAATAGCTCATCTAAGTTACTGGGTTTTGCAATTAAATATTTGGACGTATTTAATAAATTTTCTAATATAAATTTTGAATGAACCCGTAAACGAATAGCCTAGCTCTGCCCTTGCTGATAAGTAAATTAATTTTAGGTGTTACTATTCGTATTCTCAGCTAGAAAAAAGGTTTTTAGCAGTTTTTAGAACAGACAAACTTTAATAAACAGTGATAATCAAGAAAAGAAGAAGGGAGAGATTTTTACTGACTGGACAGAGAAGTAAAATTTTGGAGGACACGTTCTTGATGCATTTTATTTCATATGTTAATTCTTTTCGTGCACATGGATAGCTTTTTAACTACGGTATGAGTATTAATGATACAGAGACATGCATGCTTGAGCTCAATCCTGATCAAGCTCAAAGTAGTAGTCCATTGGCTGATCATATGAAGGTTGCTTTTGGACCATCGTGGAAAGAAAGTTTGTGTGAAAAGGAGCTTGATGGGAAAATTGATCCAGGGCATCCTTCACTTCTGGTCATTAGCTTATCTGCCTTGCGTTCGTTGGACCTTCTCAGGTTGGCGGCTTTTGTTAGCGTGTGAACTTATTCTCTCTTTGAGTAGTTCTGCACGTATAATTTTATCCTGTTCCAAAAATTGTCATTTAGATATAAATGCAGTAATGTAGCTCAATTATCAGTAGTTCATCTCTTAGTATGACCTATAAATAAGTTTTGCTTTGTCAGAGAATTGCGGCCTTTGACAAGTGAATGCCGTGCTGCAAAGCTTTTCTCTAAGCATATGAAGGTTGAGGAGCAGGTATTCCATATGCTACTTGCAAGATTGAGCAACTTTAAATATAATTTTGGATCATTGACAAAAAAGATCTCTGCTAACTCGTCACATGCTCAATAACATTCGTCGCGTTAACACATCATAAACAATATTAAATATATGTCTCTGTAGTAATGCACTCTTTCTTCTTCCCTTGTTAAACTCTCTTTGTTTTTTAAAAAATGAAAAACTATTGACGTGGAATGCTAGGGATGATTTTCTTTTATTCATCACAGGCTTCATCTCTCAAGAATCGTGTTAATATTGCGAGTGGGACACCAAGCAGGTATGCATAGAATTTCCTTGCAAGTTGGACTCATTTCGTCTATGAATAATGATGTTGAAGTATTTTTCTATTGGTGTTTGTTTATGTTTGTTTTTGCAACTACAATCAATGAGAACATCATGCAATTGCCATTTACATACAAACTCAGTTGATGGATAGTGACTTTCTCCATAAACTTTAGAGAATAGATTATCCAAAGGCGATGAAGCTTCATGGTCAATGGAATGATGAATTCATGCACAATGATGTTTCAAAATCTCTTTTATTCCCTTGCAAGTATGCATGTTTAGTGGGACTTGTTTGGTAGCCACAGGACATGCATTTTAAAAATGATTCATATGGATGTATGAACATTCAAAAATAGATAAGATTAAAAATCATCATATCAAAGAGAGGGAGCAAACAACACGCACAGAAGATAAAATATGATGCCACTTGAAATGACTTGGCCATGTCCTAGGTGGATCTCCAAATGCACCAATTTGTAGATGCGATACTATTGTGGTAGAAAAGAAAGTGCTAAAAAGGAATGTGGTAAACTAAGTATACATGGAGGAAAGCTGTTTCTAGGACCTGCAATCTCTCGGTATTTTGTTTACTTAGCTAAGAATGCTATAGGCTGATAATAAATGCTATAGCAACAATACCAACTTGTTGGATTAAAGTTTATGCTATTTACATTAAGAATGGTGAGATTGAGATACCCTCCAGCTTTTAAAACTGATTTGCTGTAAATAAAAAATTATTTAGTATTGAAACGAAATGACCCCTGCGAAAAGCGGAAAATGTAGATGAACTCAATTAGTTTGAATTGAATCATAATTGATTGGTCGATTGATATCTGTACAAACTGTATTAAAATGGTGAAATTATGGTTGAAAGGAGATCAAGTTTCTGCAAAAGAAACCAAAATCTGATTGCATTTTTCTTTTCGTTTCCATTAAAGATTTGGTTTTCTGATTCTTTTAAACTGGTGACAGGATTAAGAAGTTGATAGACATGGAGGCGCTTGGCCTTTCTCGATTAGCTGTGATTGTGCTGGATATGAAAGCTGATGCGAAGGGCTATTCACTGTTGACACTGCCTCAAGTCAGGTTAGATTCTACCGTCAAACCTCTATAAAACAGTCCCGTTTGTTCTGATATTTTTTGGATGCTATAGTGAAGTGCTGTTATAGAGGACATATTATACCATAAATAAAGCATCGGTTCCGAGAAAAACTTGGAGTGAATGACTGTTATATAGGGATGTTGTTATAGAGAGGTCTGACTGTGAATGGCTGTTATTTACGTGTGAATTACACATTTTGTCTCAATCTAAAGTTACTAATACTTAAATGTATATATGGTGTCTCAAGTGTTGGAACGACCTGCTCATTTTCGCATTGTTTGCCTCGGATGTGTTTTCATATGCGCCTTATAGTCCTGAAGATATCATAAATGGAAAAACAGCATTCTATCTCCCTTAACCTTGTTACCTTCGATTTCTAGTGACTATTTTTTTGAGATCTCATGGTATACATTCCATTTGGCAGAGATGAGTTCTGGGACTTGTATAGGAACTACTTTCACCAACGGGTACTGGAAGGTGCATTGCGGATATGTCTTTATGGTGAAATACCAGCTAATATTAAGAGAAAGAAGAGCATCGAGGATGAGTAGCCTTTTCAGGACTGATACGAGCATTCTATACTATCGTCATCCAGCCTGTTTTGACATTTTTGTATCACAAATTTGTAGTAGAGAATACACATAAGCAGCATCTATTTAAGAATATATGTAGGCTATGTTGTTTAGCTAGTTAAGTCAATCAGGCAAAATGGATTCTTGAATTCATGTAGGTGTCTTTTCAAGAGATAATACGATAGGAAGTTCATTTTTTTGCGAGATCGTTCTGTATAAGGATTTTAGTATATACACTTGAGTGAGTTGAAAAGCATCTCTAAATTTGCTCATGTTTCAATTTTCTACTGTGCACCCTACCTCTTCTTTCCCCCCTATTAGAAAGAAGGAATTTTTACATACCTATACACTATTGGAAACTTTATTACCCTCCCTACTTAAGTTTCAATTTAATTACATCCTATATACAAATTTACTAATTATATACACTTTAGGAATTAAATAAGTATCCCTTTATATTAGGATTCTATTATTTCCCATCCTTATTCTCTGTCCCTCCTACGCTCTCTCTCTGTCTCTCTCTCTTTCCTGCGCGCTCTCTCTATCTCTCAATACCTAATTCCAGTAATGTAGAGCCAAGGAAAAGAGAGCAGCAATTCCACCATTGACAGCCATTAAAAACTTTGAAACTTTGAATTCGAATTTGGGTTTTCAAAAAATATTATTTGTTTGAATTGGGTGTTGTTGCAAACAATTGGGAATTCTCTCTACGTCTCTCTCTATCTCTCAACCCCTAATTCCAGTAATGTAAAGCAAAGGAAAAGAGAGCAGCAATTCCACTATTGACAGCCATTAAAAAGCTTTGAAGCTTTGAATTCGAATTTGAGTTTTCAAAAACTATTATTTGTTTGGATTGGGTATTGTTGCAAACAATTGGGAATATGGTTTGGAATTTATATCTCAATTTTGAGGGTGTTTTGGTAAAGATTAGACTTGATCTTGGTTGAATTTCAGATTGAAACTCGAAGAAGAAGAAGAAGAAGAAGAAGAAGAAGAAGAAGAAGAAATTGTAGTAAAATTGTAGAAAAATTGTTTATATATATATATTTTTATTTAACTATTGTATGAAAGTTGAACAATATTGTATAAAAATTGTATTTAAGTTGTATGATATTGTAGTTGTATATAACTGAGCAGAAATAATGTATGAAAATTGTAGATAAGTTGTATAATATATAATTAGTTGTATGAAATATGTTTTTACTATGTATAAATCAGATACAAAATATACAAAAGACATTGTATAAAATTTATATTTAAGTTGTATGATATTGTAGTTGTTTTTAACTGTGTAGAAATAATGTATGAAAGTTGTAGATAAGTTTTATAAATTAGATACAAAATATTGTAGGCATATGTTTGCTCAAACTGTCAGGGTTTTAATCTGTTTTTCATTTTCTTTTCACTTTTCTTAATGTGGAATGCTCTCTTAGTAAGGTTACAATAAAACTTAAATCTTCTCGAAGAAGGTGAAGATTGCAGAGAAGATTCTTATGCTCCAAAAGGTGGTTTAATACTATGTCCTGAAAACCAGATCTAAACCCATTCTCTTCTTTTTTCCTTCTCTTGCATTTTTTAAAGCTTTACTTGTTTCAGAAAACCATTGTATCTTTAGTATAAGTGGTAGGTTTTACTTGTTATTCTTGCTTTGACTTCTAATCCTTCTCCGTTATACCATTACAAAAAGAGTGATATATGAGTGTTGGAGTACTCTACCAAGGTATTCGTTGACGTTATAACATAAATTTTGCCTAAGTTTTAAAAACAAAAAAAAGAAGGAAGAAAGGAATATAGGCAGCGTCCGTGTTCACACCTTGTCAACTCTGTCTTTTATTCTTATACTATAATTTTCCTATTTCATATGCTCGAAGAAGTGAAAATAAGTTCGACAAGAGAAGATTCTTATGCTCGAAGAAGGTGAAAATTGCAGAGAAGAGACTGCCGATGATTGCAGAAAAATAAGGAAAGAGAAGAGGAGAAAAAAGACGAAAAGGGTGTAACTAAATCGCTTGATTGAAGGCACTAATAATGGATTTGAGAGCCTTTTAAGGTGGAATGTATATACTTTGTAAACAAAACTTGTGTATGTCGGGTAAATAACAAAACATGAATATTTATCGTAATAAGGTTTCAAATAGTGTATAGGAATGAAAAAATCCCTAGAAAGAAAGGTTAAGAAAATATGAAAATCTAAAGAACATAAAGGAACATGATTAGAATGGAGAATCATCCTAAAATAGTAAGCAACTGCATTAAATATAGTCCAGAGCAAATGGTATAAAATAACCCGACATAATTTAAATAGAAGAAAATGACTCTAGAAAGATTGGGTTGCTCTAGTGGTAAGCACCCTCCACTTCCATCCAAGAGGTTGTGAGTTTGAGTCACCCCAAGAGCAAGGTGGGGAGTTTTTGGAGGAAGCGAGCCGAAAGTCTATTGGAAACAGCCTCTCTACCCAGGGTAGGGGTAAGGTCTAATACTGGTTTGTTGTTGTTGTTGACTCTACAAAGATTTCTCTTGTTTTCACATAAAGATCTCCTGTTTAAAGCCTTAAAAGGTTCCAAATTCTTTGTTAAGATGACAGATTTCTTGTACAAAGGAGTGTAGATATGAAGTCGTCCATTGCTTTAACAGAAGAACCCTTAAACTTCTCTTCTTTAACAGCTTCTCTAATAGAAATCCCAATCTTATTAGCCTTTTCCTTCATTTCTTTCCCTTTTCCACTTGTACTCAAAACAATGTCAATCACTTTCTTCACATCCTCTTTTTCAATAACACTTTGAACCCCTTTAGTTAACTCAATGCAAACTCCCATTTCTTCCATTAACATCTTTGAATTAAATGCTTGTTCACCAGCCAAAGGCCAACTAATTATAGGCACCCCTTGACTTAAACTTTCCAATACTGAATTCCATCCACAATGAGTCAAAAATGCACCCGTCGAACCGTGACACAAAATTTGCAATTGGGGTGCCCAAGATTTCACTATTAAACCTTTATTACTCTTTTCCACTCTTTCTTGAAAACCTTGAGGCAACCATTCTGATTTAAACTCACCTTTTAAGTCAAATCCAATAGGAGGTCTAACAACCCAAATAAATGGTTTTTCACTATCTTCTAATCCCAAAGCCAATGCCATCATTTGTGAAGTACTAATTGTGTTTTGTGAACCAAAAGATATGTAAAGAACAGAACTTTGAGGATGTTTATCTAACCATTCTATGCATTTTTCAGGTGACAAACCATGATCTTTTCCAATTCTTGATTCCAAGATTTGACCTTTTTCTCCTTTCTTTAGCATACATTGTGGAAGCAAAGGTCCAATACACCAAACAGGAAGTTTTGTGAAATTCTTGATTGCTTTTATCCCTATAACTTCAAATTCCTCAACACTATTACATAACCATCCTAAAGAATCCAAAGAAGGTGATAACATAGATTTCAACACCTTAGACCAAGAATCATTACCATTGGCTAATTTCATAAAAGGATGAAGTTGAGAGACAGAAAAAGTGCAAGAATCATTAAATCCTGGCATTTTAAAAATACCATCAATTGCTAATAAATGAGGGAGATTTAGCCATAATGATACATAAGCTGCTGTCCCATAAGCACCAGCTGTAGTAAAACTCACATTAAAAATACCACAAGATTTTGCTACTTCACTAGCAAATCCCATAAATGTATCAGAAATTATACAAAGTGGAGGCTTACCATCTTTTTTAACAATCTCTAAAATCAACTTTGTAAGTGGATCTTTCAAAGACAATGTAGAATTGAAAATTGTCACCATATCTTTTAAAGGCAAGGCTTCTGTGTTTTCTGTATTTGGTGGTAAACCATGGTCAGAACTATTATAAGGAAGTGAAACCAAAGAAATATTATTGGGATTTTGTACTTGGTTACTTGAATCTTTGGCTATGTTGGAACTAAGATATTTAATATTAAGAGGGGTACTAACTATAGTGATTTTGTAGCTAGTTCTTTCTTGGATTTTATTGGCTAAGGCTAAGAATGGAATCATATGGCCAAGTGCTAGAAATGGAAGCATTACTATATGTTCTTGAGTGTCACTCATTTTTCCACAAATTATTGGAAATTTTGAGCTGCTTAAGAATTTAGAGAGAAAAATGGTGGAATTATTTTAGGACAAGACAAGCTAGAAAGGTAGGGATAGGGTGAGAAGAAGGGAGAAGAGAAATTGGATGGTATTTATTGTCATCATTCCAACGCTTGTATATATTGAAATTTGGGAGAAAAAAACCAACCTACTTTCTGGTTTCATTAATAATGGTCACCATTTAAAATTTTCAGCTGACGAAAAAATAATCGGAAAAGGGTCAAAATCGCCCTCGAAATTGGACAATTTGTTTTACCATCCCTTAAAAATTGATCCCAGATTTGCTTCTGTCATGACCAAAATGATTCAAATTTGCCCTTTCTGACTAACAAACCTATTTTTTTTAATTTTTAATTTTTCATTAATATTTTTTTGCCCAAAATAATATGACGTGTCCTAATCAAATCAAAGTTGACTAGATTTATCCTTAAAATATTTGTATGGTTCAATTTTGCCCATATACTACATGTACGATTTAATTTCGTTGATAGAATTATTTGATAATTATGTTGGTGAAAGGTAACAAGTACTTCTTGAATTTAGTCAAAAATTATCTTTCCCAAATCTAATGTCACATTCCAATATTGTGTAAATATTTAAAAAAGAAGTAAAAAACTTCTGACATATATAAAAAATATATCAAATGCATTATATTAAAGGTACCTACTTAATATCTTCTAACATTCATATATTTCTAAAAGCATGTCATTAAGAAAAATTAAGACTGTTATTTCAATATTTTTGATACTGATTAAAATAAAAATAATAATACAACGGAAAAAAACTAATACAAGGTTATACAATATGTACGGTATGAGTAAGTATTTACAGTTGGAATATGTGTTTTGTAAGGTTGTAGCGCAATAGCAATTGGCAAATATTTGCTATGACAGGGGCATATGTAGAATTTAATAGTTCCTTGTTCGAATTCACATACGTGTTGACCAAAAAAAAAAAAATCACATACGTGAGAAATTGAGTTCACTTGTACCATGTTGAATTTAGCCCAAACATTATACCAAAAAAGGACACTCTCAAAATAATAGCCGAAATAGTGTATATATATACATTCTATATGTTATATACGAAAATTATACAAATTTTATACACTTTTTCGACTATTGAATATAAATAATTTCTGATGCGGGCTAAAAGTGATAATACTCAAAAATTGTTTGGTTTAGGTAGGTCATGACTTTTGGAAGTCCCTTCTTTATAGGCGACCCTTTATCCCCAAACCTGCAAACCTTGCCACTTTCTACTATTCAAGATTACTAGCTCATATCCATGAGTACACAATCATTATAAATCAAATAAAAATTATGATTAAACAATATGCTTGAGTAATAAAATAAAAAATTTTAAAAATATAAGTTACTAAAAATAATAAATATTAATTGTATTTAGCTAGCTAATAATAAAAGGTGAAATCCCCTTCTACATAAGTTTTCAATGTCTTATTATGATTTTTGACATTGCCTCCGGTTATCGAAGTTACTCGATACTTTTTCTTTTGGGATAATCTGTTTATCTACCATAAAATTAGATTTTTGACATACAATTATTAAGTGTTCTTTTTATAAATACTTTAAGAATTTGATGTTGAGTTTAAAAGTATAATGATGGTAAAGAGACCTTGTATCTAATTAGTAATAGTATTTATTAGAATATGTAGGGTAAAGGGAGAATTTCTTCTTTTCCTTGTACTTTTATTTTTTAGCTCTATTTGCTCCAGTATGGAGTATGGACTCTGTTCATCGGGTGCCATTGAAATGAAAATTCAACAATTCTTCAAATCGGAACAACACTAAGATCCTAACATCACAAACACACAAAATTAGCTAACTTTCACACAATATATATATNACCATGACTTATGGAATAGTTATCTTAAATTAGACAGTATTACGAACATAAAATGTTGGAATTAAAAAATCGTATGTCTATGGGGTAAACTTTACCATACGTAGTTGTGCGCTAAGCCTTCCTCCACACTTTCTGAATTTCCTCCAATCTATTGTAATACATATTGTCATTACCAAATATGTCTAGAACTAATACCAATTTCTCTGTTGAGAACACTGTATCTATATTATCAAATGTAGAAAATCTGAAATAGTTATACGCACACAATATGCATACATATTTCTATTTCTATTATCTATTATATAGAAGAGAAGTGGAGGCCGACCAAGGGCATAATGTTCATTTTAAATATATTAGTGCATCATTTGCTTGTATACTAGGCTCAAAAGTTTGATTGTGGATTCTTAATAATAGGAAAAACCAAAACTAACGTGGCCATAAGCTATTAAATTCTTCAGGTGGACCTCACTTTCCATTCAACCTTCACTATCTTCGCTAAATGCACTTGATTGTTATTATTATTTTTTCAATAAGTACATTCAACCTTCACTATCTTCACTAAATGCATTACTTGATTGTTATTATTATTATTTTCAATAAGTACCTTTAACTAGAAAAATTATCTTTTTGGTAATTTTATAATTCAAGCGTTCACCTGATTAAAAATACTATGGTAATATACAATATATGACAATTGTATTATCTCCTTAACAAACATTATTTCATTTATTTTATTTATTAACTATTTCAGGTAAAGAAGATTTTATTAAAAAAAAAAATGCAGTGATAATTTATGTAGATTTACATTCAGATGTTCTTATATTATTATCAATTGATATCATTTTATACAAAGTTCTCATTAAATTGCAATTTCAATTGGAATACTTTATAAAATTAGCAAAAAAATATTTAAGAATAAAATATAGTTTCAAGTCCCCTTTTTTGTTATAGAATATTGAAATTTATTCAAATTGTATAATAACTATCCCCTCTCTAAAATATGATTTGAGAATATCTGAAGTTAAACTTAAGACAATTAATTTGTGGAATTGTTTTCTTTTAAAAATTATTATATATTAGGAAGTATAAGAAGTATCATCATACAAGATTATACTTCTCCCTCTATGATCGAAGTTAGTTGGGTACTTCCTCTATTCAATAAAAATTCAACATTATATAAGTTTCAAAATATATAAATATACAATTAGTTATTTAAAAACAAATCTCAACAAATAACTATTGTGATGAAAATTGTATTATACCCTAAATAGTATCTCAATCATATCAAATGAAACTAAAAGAAAACGGTAATATTCCAATTTAAGGTCAATTTGATTATTATTTAGAGTGATCGAGAGATTAATTTATTTTTAATATTATGTCATTAAACTAGAACAAAATACAAATTCTCTTGTTAAAAATTCTTAATAATTAAAAATCACAATTATTATTTCAAAGAACAAAAAAATACCTTTTTCATCAACTATTTGGGAATAAAATTAATATGTTTTATTATTCAAATTTTGATTAGTACAAAAAGAAAAAGTAATACATTAACACAACTGAAAATACTAAAAGGATAAAACTATATATCATTCAATCTAAACAATGAGAAAAATACATCACGACTTATTTTTCAACTGACTTTTTAATTATTATTTTATAGTATTTAATTTTAAGTTTGGTGGTGCAAAAAAATTTTATAATAAAAAAGTGTAGACCCTATGTAGAAATAATTTAAATTATACTTGAATTATTATCTAATCATTGTATAATAAAGTATCAAACTTCGACAAGTATTACAAAGTGATCGGTATAGTAATACGATTTCAGAAAATTAAAATGCACATAATGCAAAAGATAAATAACAATACAGGTAATCGTGGTTCTATACGTTATTACACAAAAGCCTATTCTTTTTCTTCTTTCCCTAAATGCGTAGAAAGTGTATAATTAGCAATAGACCAAGAAATATTAAAAGGAAAAAAATAACAATTGGGCCCGTGCATCGCCCGGTACATCATCTAGTCAATATGTAAAATTTGGAGTACTATTAATAGAGTCATGCTAACAAAGTTATGTTAAACCACCGATCCCCAAGAACATTGTTCTAATAATCGATAAAGAAACTTCTTAATTTTTATTTGATCAATACAAAATGTTCTGGAACGACAATGTGGATAAAAGCATGGCAAAAGCATTCATGTAAAAAGTTGTGCAAGAGACTTAATTAATTTGGAAACGAAGGAACTCATGTGCATGAATGTTATTTATTACAAATTAATCAAGTAATCAAATATTCAAAATTGTTACACTTTATTTCTTAAAAAAAAAAAAAAAAATAGAACTTGAAATCTTCGATGACCATAATTCTTTCTTCAAATCAGCCTTATCACACCAAGGAGCTATCATTTCTCTTCCCCAATTACTAAATGGGGCTTAGACAAAGGTAACATACCAACAAAGAAACATAAAAGAAGTGAAATCAAATTAAAGTGGGACCTAGAGGAAAGTGTAAGAAGGAATTATAATATTTATCAAAATGATGGGCTTTAATATTGCTTTGTTTCTCTACTTTCCTGAAATGATCCAGATGTAATACAACAAACTAAAAGCGTAGAAGAGGTAAATAATTAATTTCAGTTTATATATATATATAGAAGAGGTAAAAGCATGTGGAAGTATCTTTTATTGGTACATTCATATTTTAGAGTTATTTATGTTACGAAATTTTTTACGACAAAGTTTAATTCTTCAGTGGAATTGTCATGTAATCATGTTTCACCCGAGGAAGCTTTGGATATGTTCGAAAGTGTCACGCCCCGAAATTCCCATATTCGGAACCGTGATGGCGCCTAACATTTCACTTGCTAAGAAAACCACCACCACCACCAACAACAACAACCCAATAGAATCCCATTAATGGGGTCTGGGGAGGGTAGTGTGTACGCAGACCTTACCTCTACCCCGAAGGAGTAGAGAGGCTGTTTCCGAAAAACCCTCGGCTCAAAAAAAAAATAAAAAAAAACAAAGACAAAAGGACAAAAAGGGAGACAATATTAGTATCACAACAACACTCATAGGATAAATAGCAACACCATGAAATCCATAAGAAAGATGCAAAGCAAAGGGAGACAATATTAGTATCACAACAACACTCATAGGATAAATAGCAACACCATGAAATCCATAAGAAAGATGCAAAGCAAAAGCGATAGCTAGT